CAATGAAGTTATTGATTCATTTTAAATTACAAGATATTATATTCAAAAGTATTTTAATACCTATTTTAATAAATCTGTAATGGACCAATCCCTCCCTCAGCATTCAAACAAGGGGAAATTGCCCTTAGAGCAAGACACTTTGCCAAGATTCTTTATGGTCTAAAATGTACACTGCAACTCCTCAACCCTTTGAGGGTGATCCTTTGAGTACAGTAGTCTGAGATATATAATTTGATCTGTAGCTATTTCTTATATTGTATGTATTTTTTGGGTCAGCCAGGTGTCTGACGCATGCAGAAACCTATAATCATGCCTAAGAGCATCCAAACCTAACAGAGATCCTACGCATGGAAATTCCAGTGATAATAATAATAATAATAATAATCCTTGCATTTGATATAGCTCTTTTCACGTCGGGAGGACGTCCCAAAGCGCTTCACAGAACACACTGTAAAGTGAATTGACTGTATATTTGTGGGCGAACGCGGCAGCCAATTGCGCACAGCAATGTCCCACAAACAGTCGTGGATTGAAAATGACCAATTTATTATTGTTTTTTGTTTTGTTTTGGAGGGATTATTATTAGGCTCTGTGTGGAGTAAGGAAACTTGCCCAAGGTTTCGCCCTCTGCCTGGAATTGAACTCAGGTCTCTCGCTTGCAAAGCGAGTGCTCTAACCACTGAGCTACAGGACTCCACATAGATTATTTCATTAGAATTGGAATGCGTACTCTCTCCCCAGAGGGCCGCACACTGCCACACCAGGCACAGGTTAGCAAGAGCCAAGGCTCGGGGACCACAGAGTGTGTGCAGGGGCAACGCTGGCCAAAACCACATAACTTATTGGAGTCCTGTAGCTCAGTGGTTAGAGCACTCGCCTTGCAAGCAAGAGACCTGGGTTCAATTCCAGGCAGGGAAACCTTGGGCAAGTTTTCTTACTCCACACAGAGCCTAATAATAATCCCTCCAAAACAAAACAATAATAAATTGGTCATTTTCAATCTACGACTGTTTGTGGGACATTGCTGTGCGCAATTGGCTGCCGCGTTTCGCCCACAAATATACGCTCAATTCACTTTACAGTCTGTTCTGTGAAGTCCTTTGAGACGTTGAGAAGACGTGAAAAGCGCTATATAAAATGCAAGGATTATTATTATAATAACTTGCCATTAAAGATATAAAGAGGGTCACTTTCATTTTAAGAGTTCCTTCCAATATAATGTTTAAGTCCTTTAGTTCAATTAATTAAAATTTATGAATACTTCCAGAATTTGCCTGAAGGCCAAATAAATATATTGAGAAAGACTATGTAGAATATTAGAATGTACAGCAAAGGAAAGTTTAAATTGTTATTGTGGTACAGTTTAATTCATTCCCCTGGCAGAAAATCCCATACACCAATAACTAAACAAAAAGAAATAAGATCAGCAGCAAATGACACAAAGACTGTTATTTTACATGCTAAAAAGGCACTCTTAACAAAACAAAATAAATAACACCGTCATAATATCTTCATTTAAAGGTTTTGAAGATAATATGGCTAGTGTTTTCTTTCTCTCATTTAATTACAAAACAAATGCTATACTTTCTGGGTCAATGTTTGCAGCCTCCTGAACAAGTTTGCCAGTCTCAACTGCTTGCCACAGCTACCTAAACTGTGGGCAAGTTTCATTTATTAACTTTGAATATTTTTCAGTTATGCCAACAACTCAGCAAAATATACACAGAGCAGAGTATTTGTCCATTTGCATTTTAGCCAGTTTTACCCTGTGTACCTTAAGCAACATGATTCAAATTAAATATACAGGAGTGTTCAGAGAGAAAACAGCTAAAAGCAGCCCAAAGATACAACTATAAAGTAGACTAAAATGAATAGATTTAAAAGCATAACTAATGTAGTATTTTGTTCAACAAGAAATAAAGAAGACACTAGAAACACAGACCATTTTTCAACCCAAAGTCTGTGCTGGTGTTTATGCTCCACACGAGCCTCCAACTCTCCTATTTAAGTCTACTACACCCTCTGTGACCCTTCTCCCTCGTGTAAGTATCAAGTTTCCGTTGCATTCATTGATGCATTCTGCTTCACCCACAGCTTCCTGCAGCGAGTTCCACATTCTCATCACCCTTTGCATAAATAAATTCATCCTAAACTCCCTTTTACATCTGCTTCTTGCATATATACTTATGTCCCTGATTTTGGACTCACCAACAAGTGGAAACAAGTTATAGAATCCTTTCATAATCTTGAACACCTTTAGCAGGTTTTCTTTGTATCAACTCATGTTCAAAGAGAAAAGCTCCAAACTATCCAATCTACAAAATCCAGTCACTCCAGTTTACAGATTATTCTGTGAAGCGCTTTGAGACGTCTCAACAACATAAGGCACTATATTAAATGCAAAGATTATTAATGTTATTTATTTTCCTTCTTTATAGCTGTATCTGCTCATCCTTGGCAACATCCTTGTAAATCTACACTCTATGTGTGAAGTTTCATATAGATAGACCTGCGTATGTGTTTTTTAAAATCTTTGGCACGTATTTGTTCCATAGTATTACTTTCAAAACCTCTGATTACTGTATCAAACAAGTGTAACTCTGTAGTATATTATTTCCAAGACAGTAAATTATAAATTATTAGAAATAAGTTTCTTAATTCCAAACATTTCACTATGTGTTGGTGTAGGATCACATGAAAGTTGTGCATAGGACAGCTGAGTGCAAATCCACTGTCAGTTGTCTTAACAGAGACACTGATATTTGCATTTTGCCCATAAAATATGCAGTCAATTCACTTTACAGACGTCTCGAAGATGTGATAAGACGTTATATCAAATGCAAGGATTATTATTATATTATTATAGGATTGCTCCAAATAACAGCAATATCTGGAGGAAATGATTTAAAGGAGAGTGCAGAGGGGAATAAGTTAAAGGATAATAGTCTGGTGGGAAGCAGAACAGGTTAACAAAATAATTAATTATTCATGCAAGGGAAACAATTTGTGAACAGGCAGAAATGCTGCAGTTTCCTCTGATCAGTCCTAAGATACCTACTGTTCATGAGTAAACTAATCAATGTGAAACTACCATGAGCATGAAATAAGTTACCTCTTCACTGAATAGAATTGCAAGGCATGCGAGAACACAGGTATAATAATAATGATGATATTTGTATTTGATATAACGCCTTAAAGGCCCACTTGATTGGATCGCACCAGCACCTCCGCACCTCAGGCTCTGGCAGCATCAACCTCCATGGTTGCACACTACAACTCACCAAGCCAGTCAGGAAGCTAGGTGTCTTGTTCGACCCTCAACTGTCTTTTCTTCCCCACATCCAAACCATGACCCGGTCTGCTTCCCTCACCTCCGTAACATCGCCCAACTCCGCTGAAACTCTTGTTCATGCCTTCATCACATCCAGGCTCGACTATGCAAATACCCTGCTTGTTGACCTTCCCAACTCCTCCCTCCACAGGCTGCAGATAATCCAGAACTCTGCAGCCCGTGTCCTCTCCCGCACCAAACTCCGTGACCCCATCTCCCCTATTCTCGCCTGCCTCCATTGGCTCCCTATCCTTCAGAGGTTCCAGTTCAAGATCCTGGTCCTATATCTACAAAGCCCTCCATGGCCTCGCCCCACTCCACCTCTGCTACCTCCTAACCCCCTACCAACCCACCCGCTACCTCCAGTTCCACGTGCCCCAACCCACCCAACTCACCATTTCAGCCACGTGCCCCAACCTCTGGAATTCCATCTCCCAATCACTCCGTCTCGCCCCCTCCTTAGCCTGCTTCAAGTCCCGCCTCAAAACTCTCCTCTTCAACCATGCCATCGTTCACCCCCCCTTTCCCTCCCCTCCCTTCGCCCTCCCTGACCCCAGCTTGGACACCCAAGCGCCTCGGGACGTCCACCCGACGTGAAAGATGCTATACAAATGTAGACTTGTTGTTGTTAGAGTCTCAAAGCACTTCACAGTTGTGGATCAAATGCAAGGATTATTATACGATTATTATTAGCCTCACCCCTCAGGCTGCTGAAACCCTCACCCATGCATTCGTCACCTCAAGGCTTGATTACTGGAACTCCCTCCTCATCGGCCTTCCCAACTCTTCCCTTCACAAGCTGTAGATCATCCAAAATTCTGCAGCTCGTGTACTCTCACGCACCATGCTGTGACCCCATCACTCCCACCCTCACCCGATTCCGCTGGCTCCCATCCCCCAGAGGATCGAGTTCAAGATCCTCGTCCTCACCTTTAAGGCCATCCATGGCCTTGTCCCCTCCTACCTCTCTGGCCTGCTGACTCCCGACCAACTGCTCCCTCCGTTCATCGGACTCCGGCTGCTCCAGGTCTCCCACCCGACCCACCCTACCAGCAGTGGCCAAGCTTTCGGCCTCTCTGCCTCCACACTCTTGAACTCCATCCCACGATCCCTTTTACATCGCTTCCTCCCTTGCCTCCTTCTTTTCGACCATGCCTTTGGTCTCTCTCCCACCTCTCTGCCTTCCCACACCCCTACACCAGCCCTCCCCCATGCTTGGGCCCCGACACCTGACTGTTCAGCGCTTTGGGACATCCTCCCGACGTGAAAGGCACTCTATAAATGTAATTTTGCTGTTGTACTTCTGATTATAATTATGCATAGCAAATGACTGAAATTATCTGCCACTCTGCCCCCACCCTCTGGAACTGCATCCCGCAGTACCTCCACCTTGCCCACTCCCTTTCCTCCTTCAAGACCCAGCTCAAGACCCTGCCCTCCACCTCCCCAATCCCGACCGCAGCTCGGGTCTGAAACACTGACTATCCAGCGCCTTGGGACATCTTCCCTACGTGAAAGGTGCTATACAAATGTAACTTTGTTGTTGTTGTCCTCATCTTTTGTTGCACCAAACAAAGGCATAATAAAAAGAAAATTTTGCTGCAGCATATAATTTATTGTATCAAATAGTTATCTACAACATGGACTCTGGGTTCAAGGTAGTCCTTACATGTGCCATAGTAGCAGTTGCTCTCCTTGAAACTCCTCTCTGTGACCCTCTGAAGCCTGCCCTTCCTGGCCAAAGTTTTGGAACATATTGTTGCAAATCAACTTCGCTCACACCACTCCGTCCACTCCCGACTCGAACCCCTCCAATCCAGTTTTCGCCTCGCCCACAGCAGAGAGACAGTGCTCGTCAACGAAACAAATGACATCCTCTCTCTCTGTGTAACCAGGGCTCCTTCTGCTTCCTCGTTCTCCTGGACTTCTCTGCCGCATTCGACACAGTCGGTCATGCCTTCCTCCTCTATTAACTCTCCTCCCTCATCCACATCAGTGGGACCGCATGGTTTGAGTCCTACTTAACAAACCGCCAACAATACATCTCGGCAAACGTTTTTTCCTCCCGCCCAGTCACCCGCAGGGTATCCCAAGGCTCCATCCTTGGCCCCCTTCTTTTCCTTAGCTACACGCTCCCTCTTGGCAATGTCATCTGCAGACATAGGGTCAACTTCCACATGTATGTGGATGACAACTAAATCTACTTCTCCTCCTCCTCCAACTGCGACTCCCAGTCCCCTGATGTCCTGTCAGCTTGTTGGACTGACATCAAGGCCTGGATGAGAGCAAATTTCCTGCAGCTGAATGTCAGCAAGATGGCAAGTTGGCCAACATCTGAAAAAGAAAAAAAAATTCAAGTCAACAGTTTGAGAATGACCCTCAACTTTTTAAGGTTTGTTCAACCTGATTGCCTCAATTGAACTGAGTGTTAATGTCAACAACAACAACTTGCATTTATATATGCATTTCACCCTGGGTAGCGTCCCAGAGCACTTGACAGTGGCTGAGTCTGACGTCGAGCCACGGGCACATGGAGGGAGGTGACCGTAAGCACGCCTTCTTTCCTGCAGGTCAGAACTCCTCAACCTCCCCAAGATCTCCCTCAAACTCACTGGACCCTTCGACAATTCTAAGCTCAACTTAGACGTCAGGTTCAATCCCCTGCTTTCCTTTCTACCCCATACCCATTCCTGACCAGGACCGCTTTTTTCCACCTCAGTCACATTGTCTGCCTACATCGTAACTCACAACCCAGCTGGACTATTCATTCCAATGGTCTCCCCAGCTCCACCTTACACAAAATTCGATTAATTCAAAACTCCACTGCCCGGATACACACCTGCACAAAACTGCGTACCACGATCACACCAGTCCTTGACAGGCTCCACTCGCTCCCAATTACTGAACGGATCGATTTCAAGATCCTCTTACTCATTTTCAAATCTCTTTGTGCCCTCGCACCTCCCTATCTATCCGATATGCTTATTCCCCCTTCACTTCCCCACCCGCTGCCTCTGGCCTCCCTTTTGTCCCCTCCACCATCAGCAGCCGTGCCTTCAGCCATTATGCCCCCCAAACTCTTGAACTCTCTTCCTCAATCCCTCCGCTTTGCCCGCTCCTTCCCCACTTTCAAATCCCACTTAAAGACCTTCCGTTTTGAATGTGCTTACAGTCACCACGCCCCTCCCTCCCCCTCTGGCTCGGCGTCAGCCTCCACCAAAGCAAAGCTCTCCGGGACACTACCCCACGTGAAGGGCACTATATAAATGCAAGTTGTTGACATTGACACGCATATCAGTTGAGGCAATCAGATTGAACAAACCTGAAGAGTTAAACATCATTTTCAAACTGTTAACTTGAACCTTTTTTTTCTTTTTCAGATGTTGGCCAACTTACTGTCAATTTCTAGCATGTTTTAGTTTAATATTTCCCACTTTTCATTTCCAAGTGTTAGACACATTACTGTGCCCTCACTGTGAATTTTGTACAATCACATATAAGTAAACCTCCAATTATACAGATTATACATGCAGAAATGCAATATATATTTATGAAAATGAACAATTGGATTGGTTTGCAAAGTTAGCAAACCAATTGACTTGTCCTTTTGATATTATTGTCATAAGTCAGTACATATTGTCAGCACCTAAACATTGAGAATCAAAGGTTCATTTAATTAAGCAATTAATCTACCAATATAGTAAACATGAAATCATACAAACAAGTTGAATTTGGAAGAGAAAATATGAAGTGTTTACTCAAAATTCCAGAACTTACCACTTTCAAAACAGGCATCAAATATTAAGTGTCCCTTCTTGGGATGCCCACAAAAACCAGTGGGAACGACAAATAGTTTATTAACATTTCCAACTACAATCTCTTCATTCCCGTATTCATTACCTGAAAGGAAAGGAAAAACCTTAAGTAAAATTCACAATTTAATTAATCCTCTAGAATCTGAAAAAAATCAGGCAAAATTGCCAGAAAGAGAATAAACTGCAAAAGGATTGCTTCTTCCACCACAAAAAATGAACTTCAATATACAATAACAGGAGAGAAAAAATGGATTATTTGCATTCATAACAATATAGCCAAACGTCTTCTTCTACTACACCACTGGTAGTCAGTAAAATATTTTTCTAGTCATGTATTTATCAATTCCAATGGTTAGGTTAACTACAGTAATGAATTAATTTTCAATAACAGAATAATAATAATCATCCTTCCATTTGAGATAGCGCCCTATCATGTCCCTGAGACGTCTCAAAGTGCTTCACAAAATATTTGTTGTGCTCCAGTATTTCATTAAAAACACATGCTATTGTAGTCATATTAAAATCACCTGAAACAAAATGATTAAATCTGGAATTTTGCCTTGCTTTCATGAACTGAATTTTAAAGACTAGTTAACTCAGCAGTCATTTACCTACAACATCTTACATAGAAATGTAAATGTATAGGAGCAAAATATACTATTTTGGTCCATGTGGTGTATCCAAAAGTAAAAGTGGTACTTCATAGAAAGCTGGACTTTGTAAACTTAATTGTATTTCATTTTGTATTTAAAGTGACCTTCGTTTTTCCTAGCAACAGACAGCCTTAAACGGCAGGCAATAAAAATTACATTACTAGGAATGGAACACATACTCTGCGGTCAAAAAACTCCTCCTAGGACACCCCTTTCCTGCACGTGTATGCCTTTTTTCCCCCAAAAAAACATTCTTAAAGTCTCAAAGAGTATCGTGCTGAATCGGCAATGTTTCACTGTAGTCACATACATGCTGGGAATATCATTAATTACAGTAGTGAATGGAAGGTTTGAACCTGTCATAGGAGCTCTACTTAAACACAGAACTTATCCAAAACGTATGTTCCAAATGGCTAACCCGCTGCATCACCCGGTTTCCAAATTCAAAGCATTATTCAATATTTTCACGCTTAAAACCTCTCGGTGAATAATGGAATACTTCCCCTTCTCCAAACACTGACTCCCCCACTTTGGTTAAAGGTCACAATGACAGGAAAGTTCCTTCAGAAGAAAAGGCTTAGCGTTCGTTTTCATTCAACAAATGATATCACACCTGCAATTGTGTACTTTCACAGCACTTTGTTTTTGTTTGGAATTACTGAATGATTTCAGTTTATATATAAAGTATATAAATAGATAAACCTGGAAGGTTCGAGCTTAGATGGTTAATAAATTGTGGAAAATACAAGGATAAATAGAAATGACATAGTAATTTGGTTATCCAATGAAGTATCCTATCCAATCCCTTGAAAAAGTGAGAAACACATGTAAGAAAAACTAAGATTTTTCTCACCTTTGATTTTGTTATTACAACGTGGAAAAACAATGCTTGTTCCCATGTTTAACAGAAAATAGCATTAATGTAAATCTAGGCCACGAAACATTGTCTTGGTTTCAGTTAGTGGACAATTTAAAAGCAATAAAGACGGCAAAAATGTCACACACTGAAACATAAAAACAATCACTACTCAAATTCTTACACTACATGAGTGAACTACAATATATCCGTCTTTATCTATGAACTATATATATATATATAAATAATCTGAATCGTACATTATGTTTTACAGACTTCACACATTATTAGAACAGTGGGACATAACAGCACAGTATTAGGACTCGAACCCTCGCTATTCTCAATTCAAATATTCCAGTAATTCAATCGCACGTTGGGGGAGTATTCAAATGTCTCATTCGGGAGAAATCAAGTCACCGACTGTGTGATAACGAGCGTTATCTGTAACCGGAGAATGTGCTGAATGCACGTCCGTGTCCCGACTGCCATACACCACAGCGCGGGGGCCACGGACAGTCAGTCAGTCAGTCACAGACTGACGGCAATGTCTCCACAGTGGTTGTACTTCAAATTGGAGAACGGACATTGTGAATAAAACACGTATGTGTGTGTGTGTATAGAGAGAGAGAGATGATAAATTGCGCGCAGCAGCTGCAACTCGTATTGTTTCTAAAATTTTATTTTACGCGAAATACACGAGAAGATAAAACGAACAAACTTTACACACCGAATTCCGTCCTCCTGTCCGCCATTTGCGATCCCAGAGTTCCCAAAGGTTTTTTTTAATTCACCACCACAACAACGCCAAAGAGCGTGTGCGGTTACCGCGGTGACCGGGCGTCCCTCAGAGTGGGAGGCGGGGAGCAGCCAGAGCACAGCGAGAGGGAGAGGCGCGCGCGCCCGCCCGCCCGCCCGCAACAAAGCGCTCAAACACGCCACCGTTGGCCACGCGCCCACTTGTACCAGCGCGTGGAACGTGTGACCGTTAGGGTTTCAAAGGTGTTGGGAGAGGGGGGGCGGGAGGGGAGGGACAGCGCTCGGTGCTGGAGCGTGAACCTGTTACGTCCGTCAGCTTCTCGTGAGGAGGACAGCAGCGCACGCAGTGTACGTGCCCACGCTCAGTGTACGTGCCCACGCTCAGAGCGCGAGAGCTGATAAATAAGGAGAGTCTGAGTACCTGTGTGTTTGTTGGCGCTCCCGCCCCAGCCATCGCTCTCTGCACACGGGAACCACCAGCCTCTTGGGATCAGAACATTCGCATTTGTATCGTTCGCGGAACCTAAAACTGTTGATGCCGATATATATACACACACATATATATGTTTGCAAGTGACGATTGTAGAACCAGGGGAAAAAATAGGGCGAGTTTTTTTGTTACGTGTTTTTTTTGTGTGTGCATTGATTGCAATTAATTAAAATTTGGTGTGCATGGATTTTTTTTTGCATTTGCAAACCGGGTGCAAACTAATTGCAATACAATTGCTTTTTTTTGGGGGGGGGCAGGCGACGCATGCACGCGTGTGTGTGTGTGCGTGTGTAAGTCTTGTACGGCACGTGCCCTCTCCACACACGTCAATCACCCACACGGGCGCGCACAGCCCACAGCGCGTGTGGGTGATTGGCGTGTATCGAGGGGGCACGTGCCGCGCGGGACTTGCACACACACAAGTGTATGCGTTGTCTGCCAATGCTTTGCACCGGGTTTGCAAATACAAAAAACCCCACACACATACCAAAAAAAGCCTCACCCTATGTTTAATCAATTGCAATTCATTAATTGCTATTAACGTGTACCAGGTTTGCAAATGCCCCGCCCCCCCACATTACTCACCCTATTGCTTTCCCTACTTGTGTGTGATTGATCTGTGTGGAGGGAGAGCACGTGCGGTGCGGGAGCCCCGGGGGTTCAAGCGCGCGAAGCACGTAGATCGGGGGCTGCACGGAGAGAGCGAGCAAAGATGCGCTTAAAAACTCAGGTAACTCTTCCCCGTGTTATTGAGTCACAAGATTGACTTTTTTTAAAAAAAAGTTAACGTTTCACCCACAAAATCTACACCCACTTTACAATGTATCCGCTGAAGCGCTTGGAGACGTCTCGAAATCGTGACGAGGCGCTGAATCACGCCAGGATTATTATTATTATTATTATATAACAGCATCGCTGTTGAATGTGGGGAACCATTGTCAGCCAAAGGGGGTGACAAGCAAACACGGTGGTGATACTGACACGTGTTGAAATGAAACGCTGCGGATATTTTATTTGGGTTTATATCGGGTTGGGCAGGATCGCCGGTCGGGAAAAAAACAATTAAAAATCCGAATATAAAGGGACTTTAGGGGTTTTTTTTTGAGCGCGAAGCTCACTTGAAAATTGCACGAGAGGGACGGGAGAGGGACGGGAGTGGGCGCCGCGACTTGTCCTCACCGCAGTCGCACAGAAAAAAGTGGCCTCGGTCGTGACTGTCGAAGAAGGGACCAAATGGCCACCAACCCCGTCACTACCGTCACTAACGCGAATAAAGCCGAGTCGTATTAGAGCTTAATATGAATATAATAATATTAGTAACAAACTTTTTTTAAAAAAAACTCGAGTAACCGACCCTTTCGACGGGTGGGACCGTAAAACGAAACTCCCCGTCTCCCATTAACACTCGGTATTAATTTTTTTTATATCCATATATATATGTGTATAATACACCTATTAAACAGCAAAAAAATAAGTATTTTCACATTTATTTTAAAATATATATATATAGCCCCATTCACTGCACTTCACACCGCGGTCCGACGTCGGTGGTGTCGCGAAGAGAGAGGAAAAAAAAACTTTTTCGTGGGGGTTTAGAAAGAAGAAAAAAAATATTTTTTTTCGAGGGGGGGAAAAAAAAACACACAGCAAAAAAATATAATCCCTGCGTCGGTGTTCTCGGTGGGGGGAAAAGTTTTTTTCCCCCCCCCTCACACACAATCTGCCCCTCACCCCCCCCCCCCCCCCCGGGGGTATGTTTACTTAAATCGGAATAATATAATTTAATAATCTGCAGATAATATAATATGATGCCCACACCGACTCCCCCCCCCAGGGGGGGGGGGAGTCGGTGTGGGCATCATATTATATTATCTGTAGATAATCAAATCCGTGTGATATTTCTGATCAATAAGTGAGTAGAAAATGTAAATACGAATCCCCCCCCCACCTCAAGGAGGAATGTGTTCACCACCAAAATAACCGTCTCCACCCCTTTTTTTTTTGAACGAAAGTCTTCAGGGCTTATTATGTGTGTGTGTGTGTGTGGCTTCAAATCACAGCAGGTGAGACGATTGTCGCAGAGCCCCAGGTGTCTCCTTGGCCGGCTGTTTAAGTAAGACTTTCTTACACCCAATTGAGCTCCAAGACTATTTGCGGTGCCCGCCCGGTTAAGAGCGTACCGGGTTTATGGTGCACGAGGAACCCCACCCCCTCACGCCCCTCAAAAAAGCAACGTTGAAGCACAAAGAGGTATTTCCAAAAGTGCGTTGTTTTTCCCGAAATACCGGAACGGTACAAGCAGTGAATTATATCTACGTTTCCTCGCTCCACACAGAGCCTAATAATAATCCCTCCAAAACCCAAAACAAGAATAAATTGGTCATTTTCAATCTACGACTGTTTGTGGGACATTGCTGTGCGCAATTGGCTGCCGCGTTCGCCCACAAATATACAGTCAATTCACTTTACAGTGTGTTCTGTGAAGCGCTTTGGGACGTCCTCCCGACGTGAAAAGCGCTATATCAAATGCAAGGATTATTATTATTATGTTTTGTGTTACGTTTTAAGATCATTCATGCTTAATTCTTAACATGTAAGAACTTGTAAAGTGCAGAATTTATTATTTCAAAATACTGTATGTCTAGCCTTTGCAAAGGGTCCTGAAGTAATAAATGATCTTCAGTGAAGTCTGAAATGTTGTATTAAGTTGCCTCTTTATAATTTGTTTTTTTTATAAAGCTTACACATTTAATTTATTATGTTTAAATTATGAAGGAATTGGTTTAATATGAGAATTTTTCACTCTCCTTTTCCCTGATTGTGGAAGTTAATTTAAAAAAAATTAAACGAATATTGTCTGGTGGGTATGCTTGTTAGCTGATCTTTTATTAAATATAAGCCTCTAAAAACTTATTCTATAATATTTTGGGGGGTTAATAAATGTATGCTTCATACTGAGAACCCAGCGTTAAAAGCTTTGGATAATGGAATAAAAAACCCAGACGCCTTTTATAAGTAAATTAATTTTACCAAGTGTAAATTAATTAAAAGCCCAAACAAAATCTGGATATCATTGAGGCTCAGGGATAATTTGCCAGATCTTTTTCTGTATAAAACAAAACATTTTAATGTTACTTTTTGCAATGGATCGAATATGTAAATTTACATATGTTTTCTTTAATATTCAACATTTTTTGCTGCCACATCTAATGACTGATCGGTTTTGTAAAGTTTTCTTACTTTATAGCAAGAAAGCAGTACATTTCAGACATTCTGGTGTGTATGGTACTTATCAAAAGGTAACCTAATACATAAGTCTTAGTCATATAAACTTACTACTGTAAAGCTTAGAACGAAAGTCAGATCAGGACTTTTTTTTTAAATAAAATGTTTTGGATGGAAGGAATCCTTGACCTTTTTTGTTAATAGGATGAATGGGGCAAATAGGACATATTCAAGAAAATAATCAAAGGGGATTGTCATTTTTTCAAATTCAAATGCATCACTGCAGAGTTCGCACTTTGGCATTAGGTACAGTTAAAGGTAAAACCTTACTGAGAACAGATGGTGCTGGCCTTTTGTATGTTCACTGTTTCAATGTGTAAACCTGAAATGAACATACTGCATTTAAAATGCAAATTACTCCGTTATAATTGTATGTGGGCATTATTTTATTACCTATGGAAGCATAGTTTAGCCACTGGCTTTCTATCACTTGTACAGTTTCATGTCCACCAGCAAACTGATTTGAATCACAGTAAAAAAAATGACTAGAATGGAATGTAGTTTGCTCTGTGAGGAGTGAAAAGAATGTTTATTCAACAGCTAGGAGTCTTAAGTAGGACCAACACATTCATTAGTATTTTCCCAGTGAGTTAATATTAAACTTGAGTCTTTTAATCACCTTATTTTGACAAATTAGCTATTTGATCTGCTAATAACAATAGTCCAATATTTTACAGGATTTTCTCACCATATCCAAATAATTGGCAAATTTTGTTCGGAGATGCTTATCAACTTTAAATAACACAGTCACAGTTAACCCACTGCTTCCAAACCTAGTCTTTAAATACTTAGTCACAGAAAAATACAGTGTAAAAGATTATGCACAAGAAGCTATCAGTTAATGAGAATGTCTAACGCAGTTATAATGGGTGTTATATTGATTTGGGGGGGGGGGGAATCAGAATGATCTATCTTCTGAAATTTTGCTGGCTGTTATTGATGCACTCAAAAATGCAGAACGACAGACCTGTTGGGTGAATAATGAGCCATATTGCGGTATTCAATATCATGGTCCAAGTTAAGTAGTGAAGTGAATGTCCAGGAGGAGAGTGAGCAGTGAAATGCTAGTGTGACAAACGGCAAGAAACCATTTAGGCATTATATTGTGATATCTGTATTATGGATTCTGAAACAAAGCTATCTGTGTTGGAATACTTGGAAGGTTTCACCTGAAACAATGGGTTAATTGGAGGAAGGGTGTGAATGTTTTAAGGTTTGGACTCTTCCCTATAACAGATATTCAGCAATTGGGGGGAGCACATGTTTGCCTTTTTTTTCTTTGTATGACTAAATCATTGAATTTCACCTATAGTATTTGATTTCATTTAATTAAATTTAGAAAGTCTATTGGTTAATATAATACTGAACTTGGATTTGTCAAAACGTCTTAAAGCATTATGGAATTTTCTCTAAAACAAAGTGTAGTGACTGTTTGTAGGCTATCGTGGCAACAATTTGAATACAGCAATATCCCACAAACAGCCAGAAGTGAATAACCAACTTAATCCAGGAAACACATTTAGCTGTTGACTATTGCCTTACAAGTCACACAGGTATAATACTGTACTTCTGCCCTAATTGTACTTGTAATGTATAGTTGGGTTAACATGAGCCACAACAATAGGGACTGGAAGAGGACAGATACTGCATTGAAAACAAAAACAGAAGTCGCTGGGAACAATCAGCAGGTCAGGCAGCATCAGAACGAAGGGTTCCGACGAACGGTTATGGACCCTAAACTTTGACTCACTTTCCTTTCTCCAGAGATGCTGCCTGACCTGCTGAGTGTTTCCAGAGACTTCTGTTTTTGTTTTCAGATTTCCAGCAACTGCAGTATTTTGCATTTTGTTAGATACTCCATTGAGATTGACTCAATTGGAGAACAACAAGGATGATCTCCAGTGTTAGAGAAATCAGCTACGAACAATGATTAAACAGGGCTCTTCAGTCTTGAGAGAATGTTAATAATAATCCTTCCAAAAACCAAAGACAATAATAAAATTGGTCATTTTTCAATCTAGTTTGTGGGACATTGCTGTGCGCAATTGGCTGCCGCGTTTGCCCACAAATATACAGTCAATTCACTTTACAGTGTGTTCTGTGAAGCGCTTTGGGACGTCCTCCCGATGTGAAAAGTGCTATATCAAATAAAAGGATTATTATTATTATTAATGTGACTCAGAGGGGACCTCATAGAAGTGTATGTAAGGAAAGATGGTAAAGACCAAAATGCTGAAATAATTTAAAAAGCAGCTTGATGCTGTGATGGGGGGATTGGTAGGGTGGGTGATGGGCTGGGATGGTTGGGTGAGTGTTCTGGAAAGATGGGATCACTCAAGTTTAGTGAATTGGGCAAAAATTGCAGGTTAATTTTTTAAAAAAGGTAAGTTAGTTTATCAAACTTAAATAAAATTAATAGTACTAACATTACATTAGCACCTGGTA